GCTGGCTTTTTTCTTTTTTTTTTGGGTAGGGAAAAAAACAACCCCAAAAACACCCCAACACAAACTTAAGCACCTTTCAAGAAGCCTCCTGTTATTTGAAATGTCTTTCTAAATCTGTCTATCCTTCTGTTCAGCCGGAATTCCTGTCCTACCCCTTTGCTGGATGGGAGCTATTCAGTTATTTTTGTGTGACTGACACCCCCACCAGCTGTCTTTGATCTATGGGTAGGGAAAAAAACAACCCCAAAAACACCCCAACACAAACTTAAGCACCTTTCAAGAAGCCTCCTGTTATTTGAAATGTCTTTCTAAATCTGTCTATCCTTCTGTTCAGCCGGAATTCCTGTCCTACCCCTTTGCTGGATGGGAGCTATTCAGTTATTTTTGTGTGACTGACACCCCCACCAGCTGTCTTTGATCTAAATGTTCTTCAGACACGCGAGTGGTTCCTGTGCCAGCAGCCGGGGCTCCTTCAGCTACCTCTTGGCGCCCAAAGTCTCAGAGGTTGGTGCTGGCCCACACGGCCACAGGTATGGTCTGCCCTCTCACAGGGAGGGAGGCAAGCTAAGGAGCTACAAGCAGATGCCTGGTAGACACGGAAACCCCCACGCAAGATGCTTTACCCAGTAGAGATGACCTTGCGAATGGCGCAAAGGTGGCAGGAGCAAATCGGGTGCAAGTGACCATAAAATACTGCAATTCCAGAGTAAGAAAACCAACCTAAAACTATTACACAGCAGCAGGCTTCAATGCATGCAGAGAGGGCCGAGAAAGGTGTTAAATGCATTGCCGTGGGTTGGCATAGAAGGGGACACATAACATTTTTGATCATCATAAAAATAAATAAGCAGTTACCTGCAGTCATCTCCTCCTGTACTTATAACGTACTTGTCGTCATGAGAAAAGCGGATGTTGGTGACATGCGCAGAGTGCCCAAAATACCGCTTGTGTTTGGCCTATCAGAAAAAGAAAAGAAGTTCAGGAATTGGTTACAGTAGTGTGGCATTACGGAGTGACAAAGTTGCCTTGTGAGTGTAGACAAAAATCACATCCCCAGCAGTACTGGCGTCTTCGAGCCCACAGCAACCCCAGCTCGGCACCCGATTCTGTGCCTTGCGTCCTCCTCGGTGGCTGGACAGCGGCTACCCTGTCACCCGCGAGCTGCTCTCCCGGGGACGGCCGTTCTGCCGCACAACTAACTCCCGCGCTCCTGCAGCCAGCGCTGGCTGGGAGCAGCCTGGAGGTGACCTGTTGGACCGCGCCGTTTGGACGCCTTAAAATCATACGCTAAGGAGTTTGAACATGGGGAAAAGCAATCTGTTTAGGTTAAAATAAAACATCCACTTACAAATTTTTCTGTGCATGGGAAATCAAAGAGTTTCACCAGACCAAAGTCATCTCCTGTGACTATATTTAGGCCAGCATGGGTCACACATGCACAATTGACATCTGCTTTATCTGCATTTCGCGGCCAAATTCCAATGACTTCGTCTCCAAGAATGCTGTTCCAAAACCAAGTTAAAAAGAGAGCATTAGACCGTAAGACTTACTTGCTGCTGTTCTCTTCCAAAGCATGGTGAGGCAATGCAGCCTGGTAATAAAAAACTGCCTTCTTTAAAAACAAGTCTTTTCCCTCTAAATCATTGCACCAAATGTGATCTCATAATAGAGAACATCACAGGAACATACCTTTTTTTGTGTGACTCTTAAACTACCTCTATCCATAAATCCTGAGGTTTATCTGCTGTGAAACCACTCGCATCATTTTATACAAGCAGTTTGTGCAGCTATGGTCTCCTCCTTTCCTTATGGACATGGATGTACCTCCCACAGTGATTTTTGACAGCAATGTTCTCTTCTCTTGAATGAGGGGATGCTTTTTTGGATGTGGAGTATTTCTTAAAATAGCTGTTCCTCCCTTAGTTTAAGTTCCTTTATAATCATTCCTATTTACCCACATATTAACTGTCAGATGTGTTTGCCCCACTCCCACAATCTGTCAAGAGTCCTTAGAAATGAGTACTTTGGGGCACATTTTTGTGCTTGCTTGATAGCAGAGCAGTAAGAGGAGGATTCTCACTTACCTTCTCCTAAAAACCTGCCTGTATTATCACCCACTGTTTATGTCAGATCTGCTTTTGGTCTGTTCCACTTTCCACAGTAAGAGCATAGCCATAGTTTTGTAATCGTGTTGGGAGGGCCCTATATAAATCCATGTCAGTAAATAGATTTTCATGGTACCCACAACTCCTTTCTTAACACAATCAGGTCATGTTTCCATGCCTCCTATGTTGCTTGTGTTGCTGACGTGGGATAAGGTAGCGCCTACACCAGCGTGCCCATAAAAGCAAAGCTGTAAGTGGTACAGAGCCATGTGAGGGGCCACGCACCTCACTGTTGGGAAGCCTGGGACAAATGGCAACAAGCCACTGTGGATGTATGACAGCCTTCGGTATTAGTACAGAAATAATTACTACAGACACCAAACAGCTACAAATGCGTGTAAAAAAATAAGCGTGTAAGATAAAGCTTTGGGGAAGAGGAGTGTGTGTGCTTTCTCTCGCAGGTTTGCCAGACCCTGGGGACATTTCAAGCATTTGGTTTACACACTCTGATCTTGTGATCTGACCTTAGTTCTGTATTATCCTGCCCCCAGTCAGGCAGAACGTTGTTCTTTAGTTTTTTTACCTTGTCCACGTGGCCCACGTGATCTTTTCTATTAATGCAGGATCTGTTATTTGCTTTCCTAGTGGTACCTCGTGAACTTGACGCTTATAGGCACCCGTTGATACCTGAAAGTAGGAAGGGAAAAAGCTAGTAACTGTGCCTCATTTTCTTTATAAGATTGCTAGCAGTAATATTCTCAACATGTTTTATCAGGAAATTAACACATAGGATAAAATTTCTGATTTCTTCTAATTAGCTATAATTAATTATATGCAATATGAAGTAATAACAATGTTACAGGATGATAACTGAATGAGGTGCTCACATTGCACACTGCATAGCTGATAGATGGCCTTTTAGTTATATACTCTTTGGTTTATCTCAACTCCGTTTTACTAAATCAGAAAAATTGCAGAAGGAAACCTCACATATTAATTCATCCATCGTATGCTTCCCATCCTAGGGAAAGGGAGAACTGTTTCTGTAATGGGGTTATAATCCACAATTTCTTTCTCAAGTGTTGTACCCGTTCCCTTGACAGGAGAGAATACTTTGCCTTTAGCACGCTACTGATGTTGTAAGGGAACTGAGCTATATTGCTACGGTCAGAGATGCAGAACCCAGGAGGAAGACCTGAGTATTTAGAAAGAAAGAGAGGACTTTACATAGAGCTCTGCGAACATCCTAAAGGCAATCTGAGTTACGTGGTCTACCTCGAAAGATTTAGGGGCACCTTGAAGTTCAGAGTAACTTTGCAAAGCCTCCCTCACCCTTTCTTACCTCCATCTTGTTATTATGTCTGATAACAGGTAAGTCACAATAAATACAAACAAACATGGATCTACCTGAGACATACCTGAATGTACCTGCTGTCTGCAGAAAAATCCATCTGTATGACAAAACTTGCAATGTCTTTGCAGTAGCCTATTCGGTTTAGGGTTGTACCTTGAGTGAGATCATAAAAATCTACAGTATGTTCTTGAGAACCCACTGCCAAAAACCTGTTATCTGGGCTGATCCTAGACAATAAAACATGGAACGGGGATGTAATTTACTGTTTCTGTGCCAGATTTTCTTTTGCTTCTCATGTTAACACAAGCGAACAAATTTCTTTTACTAGAAAACAAGAAAAAGCTTCTATCAATAATGAGGTTGAATCCAAACCAAACCTTGACGCTTAATAGGTGAGGAAGATTGAGGATATCATATGTAGTTAACTGATGTTAATACTGCACTTGCATAGAGCACGCAGCAGAATGTGCAGAGTAACACTAATCCTCTGGGAGAAAGCAACAGGAACTGCAATTTTAAAATGTCCTCTAATATTAATTCCCATGATCACAGCTCCGCAGTGTACAAATTACTTAGCTATATTCAAGCGGATATAACTGAATTAATCACAGGAAAAAAAAGTGTGTGGTATATAAGATATATAAGCTTTAGGTATACGTAAATACAAGGTTTAGGTATACGTAAAGCCATCAGTCAGCCAGTAAATGCATTTCATGATTTCATCCAACAAATATGGAGTTACAAAAAAAATGGAAATAACTTGGAACTTGATGGATTTTTTCTTGAGTAAAGGCTGCGTATCTAGAGAACTTCAACTCAAATTTCTGACATACCTGATATCCTGAATTGCAGACTTCCTGTCTCGCTTTTTGCCCCAAACCTTAAGGCTGTTTACAAGTAAAATAACAAATTCTCCATTCTTCATGCCAATTGCAACCATTTCACCATCAGGACTATACGCGGCACATCTTGCAGGATGACCTAGATTCACTTTGTTCAGCAGTTTCTGTATTAAACAAAAGCAATAGGCTCATACCCCCCCTGGAGAAAACTACCAAGCAAATGGAAAGCTTCCAAACACAAAGTATAAAAGTCACTTATTAAAAACAAATCGTCTATAATTTCCTCTAAATATAAATCTGAAATTTCACATCAAAAAAATCACATCCCACCAGGCATATGTTGCAAAACAGACTTCAAAATATAGATGTGATTCAAATGGGAGCTTCATGTTTGCATCTATCTTGTTGCAGGGTGACTTCAAGTTTTACACCAGACAGAATACTATTTAGCAGAAAAGGCTGGAAAAAATCAATTTCCTATTTTGTTTGAAAGGTGATTTTTGATAGCTTCTACAGCTGATCAGGGTAGGTTTTTTCCATTTGATTTGCTATGTGAAAACATACTAGAATGCTCTTGCATTTTCACTTACCTGATTGTATTTATAATATATTCATTTTCTATATTAAAAATTATCCGTTAGCTCAGGTAACTACCTCTTGAAAAGGCTTATGTAGGCTAGCATAAGCGGAAACCTTTTTGTTATTTTTTAAAATGCTTTATTTATTTGTTATTTTTAAAAATAGTTGTTGTTATGCAATTTGACTTGGAAAAAAATCCTGAACCACACATATGCAACGTGCTCGGTTCTGAAGAAAGGCTCTAAAAAGGAGGGAGCCATGCTTGCCAGTAAGGGAGGCTTATTGTCAGGGTCCGCGTATTAGTCAGTGACAGGACAATCTGTGTCACCCAGTCTGTCAGCATGGAATTAAAATGCTTCCTTAATCCATGCCAGCCTGTACTGTTAAATCAAAATAAGCAATATGCAACAAAAGGCACTCCATCAGCACAAGTGCTTTTAAATAACCGCATTTCTCTGCAAATTGCTTGCTTTTGGAAAGAGCAGCATGCTACCTCACCAAGGACTCACCTTTTCACATTGCCACATAGCAGGGAAAAAAAGAACCGTACCAAAACAGAAGAAAAACATTGCTCTCTTTACGTGGCTGCTCAAAGGTGCCTACGTGGCTGGAGAAGCACACATTGTGCAGTTGGAAAAATGCATGGTTGCATAAAATGATCAGTTTTATTAATATACTTTTCAATTTAGTGATACTCACTTTGTCACACAGGTCCCAGATTCTTGCTGTTCCATCATTACTTGCAGAGATAAATATGTCTTTTGAGGGGTGAGTTGCTAAGCCCCAGATTTCCCCTTCCATGTGACAGTCAATCAACAAGTTTGAAGCAGCGTTTTTTTCTCCTACTTCAAGGATTTCTCCATCTTTTGTTCCCACTAAAATTTTCCCCTGTTTGTAGCCAAAAAAAAGAATGAGAGATGGGTTGTCAGTATAACAGACAGAATATCAATAGCAGTGAAGTACAGATGTATTGCAGAAATATCTGTGGTAACTCATCCTGACGTATACTGCTTGTTCATGCAGCATCTTAACAACAGGAGAGTAAAACAGTGACACTTTCACACCTCGAGATTTGATATCATGTTCTGGTGTTACTGTTGAGTGACCGCGGTGGATTGCCATCTTGCCATTAAGGGTTTTAATTCAGATCAAAGTGTTTACATACAAGTTGGCAAAGGATAATTCTCATACCTCTGAGGTGACTAAATAAAATTTTGGGGCAATAATAAAAAAATCAAACCTAAACTGCAGGAGCTTTCTCAACAAATACTTGGAAAAAGCGTAAATAGATACAGTTTGGAACTGGTTAATGGCTACTTCTTTAGAAATATAAACAACATTCCTCTGTGTGGTCGTTATCAAAGAGCATGTCAAATTCCTGAGACTTGATATATGAAGTTAAATAGAGACCATTTTATGAAGTGTTATGTTGGACAGATACCCATCATGTGAAGTAACACTCCTGCATCATCATGCACTCCTTTCATAACATTTACAAGTACAATTTAGACACGTGCAAGAGTGATTTTTAGCATCTCAAATTACTCAGTTCTTTCTATTGTTTTCCACTTTACCAAAACTTAAAGTCAATCAGTAATTCTCAGTGGCAACTTGTTTTATTAGTGGCTTTAAAAAAACAAACAAAAAAGCTAGGATCCATGCTGCCTAACTGAAGCACCTAAACTGTGCCTACATTTCACGGGAAGCAAACCTTGTAAAGTAGGTACCCAAGTTCCTTTTGTCATTTTAAAGAAAGGCAGGAGACAAGGTCCTACCCTGGTGAAATATGTTCCTAGCACTGTCCTTCCGAGGCCTTCAAAGGCCTTTTCTTCTCCATGCTAACTAGAGGAAAGGCAGGCACTGAGCACCAGAAATGCGATCCTCATGCAGTTTAAAGCCCACCACTGAGCTCAGGAAGACAGGGAGTTGTCACTAGGTAGGCAGACAAAGCCTCCTCCCATAACTTTACAAAAGTCTTCTCCCATATGTCTCCCATCCAACCTCCACCAACATGCAGTGATGGGTGCCAAAGTGTAACATCTGCCGCGTCAGCATACTTACTTTTCCTCTGCAGACGGAGCGCACGCACTCAATGAGCTGGCCTGTCTCAAGTTGAAATGCTCGGCAGCGTTTCATCTCTTGATCCCATAGCTTTACAGCTCCCCCTTCTTTAGTGCTGAAAAGAAGTGTGTTGTGTTACCCAGATGTCTCCTTCTGCATTTGGAAATCCCATATGTAAATCCCATCAGTATTTTTCTCATTAAATAATAAAACATACATTGAATCACCTTCTACTGTATAAAAAGACACCTCACTATTGTGTAATGGAAAGCATATAATAACAATTTAAATCACACTTCATGTTTTAAACAGTATCATGCCTAATTTTTAAAAAACAAATTGTTCTCTTGTCACTTAATCTCAAATCTCTGTCACCAAGATAAGCTTGGAAAATAAGTTACTTCTGCCAAATCCAAGAAGTGCCTCCCAGAGTCTCCACTGGGAGAGGCTGTCTGCAGTTTGACAGAATTAAAAAATTAAGAAAAACCCACTTATGCTCAGGCAACAAGGAGCTTATAAGGTGTCCATAATCAATTGCTAATTTGAGGTTCCATATGTCCTTTGCACATAACGTGCATTACTGTGACCCTTGAGCGTCCTACTTACTTGTCCTTTACTTGCTAAGACACCTGGGCAGGTTGTGTAAAATTTAGATTTAAACTGCTACAATAGAGATACCACTGATCTCTGGGAAGCATTGTGTATCTCTAGGGTATTGGATAAATAAAAAATATCATATGAGAGGCACAAAAGTTGTGCACTTTAGGAAAATTGTATGTCTTACGGTCTCTAAATGAGTCCATCTCGAAGAGTCGTGTACATTGTAAACACTGGCCCTGTGTGAGCTTTTGCCACAAGTCTAATCAGAAAATGATCCTTCCAGACGTAGACATCTCCATTTATGGCACCAGTAAATGTAAGGTTATTCTGCAACAAATAGCAATGATCTCCGATATAATAAATACCTTAGCATTTTTGTTCAGCTTGAATTAAAATTCTTTCAGCTACTGAATTTCCTGAGAAAACTCAACTATGCAATGAATGTAGAAATTAAAACCATCTGCATCGAGAGAATGAGTTTAATGACTGCACTCTAATGGTGTTTCTCTGAGATGTTATAAATTATATGGGTCCCAGAGTAGGGCACATGCACCTCATGCATCTCATCTTGGGATCTTTCAGATGCATGTACTTCTTTTGCTCTGCGTGTGCTATGTCACGTCTCCTGCTGGTGAGATGGAAGGCAGGCTACCACTACTGAATTTTAAGTGACTTTTCTTTCTTCTTTGAGTATGTGTCAGAGAGAATCTCAGTATAGATGACTGGCAAGCAGTATCTTCAAGATGTTGAAAATAAAGTGTACAAACTTAAAACGCAGAACTAACGCAACCTGATACCTACTTTAGGCACCACAGCGATGGCATAATTTCTCATAAAAGCCATGAAACTCCTCCATGGAGCAAACTGGTCAGAGGTCTGGGACTCCCTGAGGAATGGAAAAAGTAGCAAGTATTCTGCATTGCAAACGCTCTTTTGGAGCATGCTCTGTTAAATGGAAAAGCTTGCCTAAAGAACTAAAGATGGTCTGACTTTGAAATCCACTGACTCTGAAATAATAGATATCAGGAAAAATTGTGAGTGAACCCTTTTGATACGGGTTCAAAGGAAAGTCCCATGTTCTGCAACAAACAGCAATGGTGTCTGCTGAAGGAATGGGAGGATAGAAGCCCCAGAATGACTTTCCGCCATTAAGACAAAAATTTAGTGTGGCTGTATCCCAGCATGACCTGTTGACTCTGGCATTAGATGGACCTGGATGAAAATGAGCGAGGTCCATGGATGCATGAAGAAGCAGAGGGTATGCACGCAGCCCCTACTCTGTTAAGAGCAATTTACGCATGCTGCTGTGACATGGACTCATACTTCCATTGGGATTCAATGACACATACTTGAGGAAGAAAAAACCATCCTGCATGAATGACATATGCTAATGGAGTAAAGGTCATCTGCTGGTTTTGAAGGTGCCCCTTACAGGACATTAGTTTTATTATTTAAGAGAATAAAATGTCTATTGGACGGTTTCTACCTGGAAAGTACAGACAAGCAATTTGTTTGTTCTAATATTACATTCTGCTTCTTTTTTAAAATCACTTTTGGGGTCTTTAGTGTCCATTACACTACTCCTATTTTATACTGGAATAATGCCATCGGAATGGAAAGAAACGTTTAGTATTAAGCAATTTTTGACAACAAAGTCCCTTGTTTGGGCACAAGAATGAGGATTTGGGCGCCTAATTTCATACACTCATATTTCACACATTAGTACTATTGTCGAGGGTGGATAATTAGGAGCAAGGGGTTTCTTTGAATTGGTGATTTATATAATTTATGCTTAACCTCTGCAAAGGTGATTTCTATGGGGTTTCTAGATGAAGCAGAAGCTATTTCAGACCTTAGCATCAGAGTAACACTACTTATTCACTGTTAGTATGTATTGTTTTCCTTAACTATGAAGTCTAAAGCACAGTACTATGGTTCCTTAATGATCATACAGGAGAGTATTATATACTGTCACCATTAGCTGGATCACTAGCATATGTCATACCAAATACTGTCAGCAGAAAAAAAGGTTGCAGAGCCTATACACAAAATAACAATATTGCATTTTTCTAAGTTAATCAGTGAAGTGCTAAATAACGGCAAAGTAAAAAAATAAAAGCCATGGCAGCTGATGCTGTAGGTATGCAGAGACATTAATAAAAAACGTTCACTAGCAGAGAAACCCAACCCTGCTTAGAAAACTTACATGAGGATCTAAAGGCGTACAAGCTTTTAATTAAAAGTTTAACTAATAAGCAAGAGCTCCATGGTCTTGCACTGTCCACACTCTACTGGATTTCAACAAAGCAAATTGACACTTGTGGTTTTAATAAAAATGTATTATAAAATTCTGTAGCAAGTAATTTGAACTCACTGCTCCGAAGGCAACAGAAAGCATGGTTTGCATTTTGGCATCTTCCATGGAACCAATGACTCCTTTCTTATAAAGCAAAGCACTGCCAGCTAATGTCCAGAACTTCATGTGTTTTACCCCAACAGACACAAATTGAGTGTCTGAATCTGGGCGGAACTCTACAACGAATATCCTCTCCAGGTGTCCTCCCCTGCTAGCAACTTTAGCCCCTGTTTTAATTAGGAAAGGATAAAAATAAAGTTAAATTTACCTGCAAAATTAAGCTCTGATACGATTTTATAAAATAAATTGACCTGGTATTAGATTAGAGAACTGTGTCCCAGATGCTGAAAGCTAAGCAAATCCCAACATTATTTAGTGCATCAAACATCTTAATTCATGCAACCTGCAAGGTCCCTGGTTATTCCATTGCATCCGACAGTTTTAGGAAACGCAGATTTATGTCTTCATAGCATGATTTGTCTCCTTGGTAAGTGAAATAACAACAGAGAAATTTTGTATATCATCAATGAGTTACCATCTGGTGAAACGCACAGGGAAACATCTAATGAGCTGAGACACTTCTCTCCCCTCCACCGTTACTGAAGATGATAATCCTTTTCTGGAAATGACTTCCCAGAGGCCTATCTGTGGCATAGAATTTAAAGTTCAAGTATTTTAGGAAGAAAAAGAAAATACTTTCCTTAATTTCATGGAATTTTATATTAAACAACATTCTTTCCTTAACTTCTATTTATAATAGAAGTTTAAAACTTATTTTCTTATTCATATTTTCTAGCACTTTGCTATCTCCTTTAACCGATTTTGTGACTTAGGGAGCCATGATACTCAGAGTAAGAACACAAATCTACTCCAAAGACTTAAAAGGAAAAGCAAAAAATTGTACACAGTTCTGTTAGGCTGAAGGAACACGATTTTTCCAGAGTTACCTTCTTGCCACCTCCACACCGTGATAGTATGTTCTGGATCCACTCCCACTGAAACCAGAAGTTTGCCAGTTGCACTGAAGTTAACATAGTTAACCCCTTTGGTATGGAAGCAACGTAGCATTGAAATCGTTTGCTTACTCATAGCGTCCCATATATGAATTGTGGGAGTTGTACCTATGTGCAAAAAGATGTATTAAAAAGAGAATTAGTTCAGCATCTGGAAAGCTTCAATGCAAAATAGGCATTTTTCAAGAACATTTAACCTAAACAGACACTTAGAAGTTGTGGGTTTTTGTTTTGTTTTAATATTAACACTACTCAAAAAAAATCATAATAGCTTGCAAAACACAGGGGGAAATCATTGTATTTCATGAAGTAAGACAAATTCTAAAAGAACAACATAACATTTATGAAGAACCTCATGCAAAAGAAATTGTCTGTAGATGTTTCACTTGTATCCGCGATTCACACAGATACAACGAGGTAACGTGAAACTTTTACATAACTCTGCTGACTAAAATTCACAAACGAATCAGCCTTACCTGGAAATTCTGTCATATCACCTGCATTGTGAGAGCAATGGCAAATGAGGAAGCACCAAGGGAAAACAATAGGTGAAATAAGTCATGTTTCTAATGCTGAAGGGCCAGCATCAGCACCAAAAGGGAAAAAAAAAATTAAAAATTTGAAAATGGATATGGATTAAATCAACAAAACAAATAAGCAGGAATATTGTTGAACTTTTTTGGGTATACTGGTTTTTATACACAAATATCGCAACAATATTTAGTACTTTTGAGTTTTAAAAATGGTATTTAAAAGAAATGCTAGAGACATGCAGTTTTTAAAAATTATTAAATTTAAAAGTTAAATGAATCTGTAGTTATACAGAATATCAACCAAAATCAGAAACACTGATTTCATGGGCTCTTATTGACGTAACAGAAAAAGGGCCTTTAACAGTCACCTTTTCCATGTCATAGAAATCAGTATTTTGAACTGGAGCTCTGAGAATATGTATGGATTTTCGTGTTCACTCAACATTCAAATTGAAGTGACAGCACTCAGTACAGGTGGCAAAGATGGTTTGTCACAGTGTTCATCTAGTACCATTTTTCTGCCCCCTGTTAAGTTACTTATTACAGAAGTTAGAAGTTGTGGACTTGAGTCTCCTTCCAGAATGACATGAATTAGAACGACACCATTCTTTTTCATGACATTAATTATTCCAGTATTAAGCTGGTTTAAGTGAAAGGCAACAGATCCTTCTCAAGGCTTGGAACAAATGATCCTGCGTTTCCCACACAGCGTTTACTCCTGCAAAAGGTACCAGGGAATCTAGCAGGACTCTCCATGTAAATAATGAACAAATAGATACATATGGTTTCACAATTGGCCCCTTACATGTGTTGTAACTTCTGTTGAGATTTCACTCTATTTCTTTTTCCATATTGCTGCATAGGAAATTTTCCTTATTGTCTTTTCACTGCTAAGCATTTTACTGCTAAACAAGTGCCTTGGATACAGGAAGGAAAGAGGGAATTCTATAAATCTTATGATTACAGATTAATGAGATGATTTAGTGCAGTTTATCAAAGCTTGCTTTCTGAAATATGATTGTACTACAATTAACTCTAAAATCCAATGACTCACAATCAGAGACGAAATTGAAATCATAAGAAAATCCTGAAGCTTGACTACCTCTCTAAAATCAAAGAAAAAGTTTGAGTAACACTGGCATGTCCTGGTAAAATTCCTACACAGAAAAGCCCAAAATAAATCAGTGCCCCTGATAATTTTTGGGTAAAACTTTGTTATATGGAGAGTCACCTACCGATCTGGCTGGTAGCCACAATATTTTTATACTTTGGGTGCTGATTCACAGTTAGGCAGAGAATGTCATCAGTATGCTCCAGGTAGAAACTCTGACTACCTAATAAAATTCAAACATGTTTTTATTCACAACAGTATCGAAGAAAGAACCACCACTGAAGCAAAGAATATTCAAGCAGCTTGTTGCTACTCATGCTGTACTCTCCAGGGGATAGGTGGGGGTAGGGCAATAACTACGTCGACAGCTGCTCTGCTCTCATTCCCAGGCACCATTACCAAACGCACTATGAACGTAACC